TTTTGTTCCGTCCCCTGACTACGCAAATCTACGTCTTAAACAACGAACACAACGACGTCGAAGTCGAATCGTCTCCATTGATAAAAAAGGTTCCCGGATGAGCTTTGATTGCGCAGATCCACAAAGCACTTCCGCATTTCCGTCATCACGCTGCATCGGTTCACAACAAAACGGCTCGTTTGATTGCAACCGGGACGGAAGGGGAAGTGGGGATTTCATGCCTGCCCACGTTGATATTCCAGAGCCACATCATCTCCAAAATGTTGTGCAAGTTCCTCCAGAGGTTATTGCCGAAATGTTTTCCACTGTTAGCAAGGCCGCACGATTACGGACGGAATTTGAGCGAAAGTGCGAAGCCGTTCAGTATTTGATGGGAATTCCGTGGCTTGAGCAGCCAACCCGAAAATGGATAAAGTTTGTTTTGTGTCTTCAGTTAGTTTCCTGGATTTTTTCAGTCATTTCGACTGCAGCAGCTGCCTTCTCCGGAACTCTACCAAGATTTCTTCCCGCTCTTCTTGCTCCTTTTTTAACATTACTTCATTTCATCGGATATTTGTCTTTTGCCCGTCGAAGCCCAATTTTGAGCGCCATCTACTGTGTGAACGTTGTCATCGTTGCAGCGTTACAGGGCATCCAGTTAGCGAGTTCAATTCGTCAGTTGACAATAAATTCGTGTTGTCATTCCCCATCACCACTTATAGTGACAACAGTTTCAAGTGCATTCGGCTTATCGTCATATTTATCCTTGTTTTTCTCTGCTGCGACTCTTTATCTTCGTATCCGCTATGAAGAATCCGAAATGCGTGTTTTAATTCCAATTGAAACCCTCGAGGAGACTCCAAATGATCTTCCCCTTCTTCGATGGTATTTTAGCCTTCCTTCAATCCAACATCGAAATGAGTGCCCCTCAAGGCCCCAATCCAAAAGACAATACTATCAGTAAGATGAGTAAGTTGACTTTCCTATTTTGGATCCTGCTTTGCTGCAGTTCAATCAACTCCTCTCGAATTCTACCTTCATTATCCTAATTTTGTCCCATCTGGACTTTTTCATTGGTGTGTTTGTGTCCGATTTCATCATATGGCAGTTCATTACATCGATTCTACTTTTCTGTGGAAACTGTCAACCCTGAACGTTGGAAGAATAGAAATTCAAACAAATTCTAGTGAATAGCCTCCAAGGTTCATTGGTTCCTAGGCTACAGCCGCTCTCTGATTGCTTCAATTGTCCGCTTAAGCTCATCAATTGCTTCATTTGTGTCGACGAGAATGTAGGACATGGGTTCTGATTCTCTGAATCCCTCAGTCCATCCGAAAGTAATGTTAAGATTTCTAACCATCTTTCTGACCGCCACCGATGGTCTTCCCTCGAGCTTGGAGAGCTTTTCGATGACGAAGCGGAGTTAATCCAATTCGAGCACTCAACTGTTATAATTTGGTAAATGGAATTTGTGACATCACTGTGGCTATCGCTCCAAAATGTCTCTCCTCTCGCCAAGAACGATTTCATTTCATTCATCTGAGCGAATAGAATGAATTATCATACAGCTTTGGGATGAGGTGACTGCTAAAATGGGATTCAAGAGACTCACGTCTGATGAATTTTTAAAACAAGAGATCAGCGTGTTCTTAATTTGCCGTCTCCACTCCTTCAATGAAACTTTTGATGCCGTTCTCGATTTCAAGGCATCACGTAAACCGTATTGCCTGACCGAATGACCAATCTGTGGGAAAGACACGACGGATCACTCACCATGGCTTTCGTACTCGGCGAGCATGCATCGAAGATTTTCCCTTTTCCAATGTGAGTGTTGAGATCGTCAATAGCGGTTTGCAATCGCATTGTATTCGCAGAGTGAGGATCTGCGACAGAAATACCACGTTCATCTCTCCTGATGAGAACAAACCATGCGTTGACAGCAAGGCCTCAGCTCTCTGGCAGCAATAAAACAGCAGAAACTCTAAATGTTGGGCGCTTTTTTGAAGAGTCATCCTCTTTGCTTCTGCTTCCAATCGTTGCTCTTCGGCAATATCATCAAGCTAAGCAGTGTGACAGTAAGGGAAGCAAAATACAGAAGTACCCACAGAAATAAGCAATTCGATGCTCCACGTTCCCATGCTCTTCTTGTCCACCCACCGAACCCGAAAGCTTGTTTCACCTGCAGCACGTGAAACCATACAATACAAGAGCTGTTTCGTTGGAAGCGTTACCAGGTTCGATTGTAGCTCGAAATTCTGTCTCAGATCCATGGTAAATTCTCTGCCACCCGGTCTCCTCATTTTTCTTATTGCCACAATGATGCTGTAATTTCCAAGTGAAATCCTAGATCAGAGGTCCCCATGTTGTCGGGAAGCTCCCATCTTATCAATACAGACTGGCCGAATTTGGGTGGAGAAGCAGACAACTCGATCCACTCGTTCTCAATAACGCGAGGTTTCTTGCATGCTGTTGGATCAGCTCCTTCAAATTTTTGTTTTCGTGAACGATCCAGTAGAACCTGTTTTGCTTGTGTGGGATCCAGAAGAGGTGAATCTTGGTCACATAGTTCATCTTCCGATTCATTGATTTCAGCCACGATAGCTTCTGAAGAAAACCAGCCATAAAATTTCCAATCAACGACTTGCCTAAAGAGTGTTGAAGTTGAGCTGTCTTCTCAGTGGACTTGTCTAATTCCTTGATGGTCTCCCTGTGAACGTCAATCAAACGCCGTCCAACGTCCGATTTCGACTGATTCGCTTCATCTAGCTCCAACTGAATTCCAAGTTTTCTGAACGCACTGACATACAAACAAAGTCGGCTGTTTCATCGAACTCACCGTTCCTTTAACACATCCAGTGCAGCAGTTTGCTTGGGAGCCTTTTTTGATTCTTCTTCGAGCTCAATTTCTTCTTGCGAGGGCGTTTCTCCACGCTCAATACCGTCAATACTTGTTACGGTGACTGTTTTCGTTGTTGTTACTTGCTTGTTTCTCAGGCCCCCTTTTTTGCTATAATTTACACTTTTGCCGGTTACAGACTTTTTTGCTCCGGCCTTTCTTTTCATGCTCAGCCGGTGCTCAACGTCGGCAAAGTGGACAGCACGACCAAGTTCTATTTCAGCACCTGAGATTCGTTTAAGATGAAAGGAAACTCAAGTTCCTCCTACTAGAGAGTAGCGTCTTAAGGCGCTGGACATGTTCTTTCGCGGCCACATTAGCTGCAACGCATGCTTCCCATTCTTCTAACGTTTCAGCGAATATCTTGTTTTCTCTGTAGAACTCAACCACAGCCCAATGGTCAACCACTTCCTCACTCATAAATCACAGGTGCGCAAATAATTAAACAGAAAAAAACCCATTCACCCCTACTGTATAGTACAATCAAAAAACCGAATGCTCGAAAAAAAACGAGAAAAAAGAAAAACATGAAGAGCCTCCAATCAATCTTATCTTCGCTGTTGAAAACAATTGATTGAAATAATGAATCAAAATGGAATCGTGAGTGCGGGAGAAACGGGTCGAGGCGGTTGATCTTGGACTGTCAATGGACAGACAATTGGAAGATACCCTCGTGAGGCTAGAGACTGTATATGGTTTACAGGTTGGGAGGACGGAGAGACACTCATTGTGACAGGAGTTGAAGAAGAGATTGATGGGGGTTCAGATGATAGTGAAGTTGTGCCTTGTGAATAACCGTCATTGTGGATGGATCTGCGTCGGTAATGCTTCGGAGAGAAATGATAGGGATGTTGATGGGAACGAGAGGGTTCGGAGCCACTGGGCGTGGAAGCGATCACTGTCTCATAGACTTTTGCAAGCTCTTGTAAAACCTCTTGACATGATGGGTGATGGTAAAATCCTCCAGACTTCATTGATGCTTCCAACATCGAAAGACACCTTGAAGCGATTAAGAGGCTTTGAGCAGCAAGTACCTGAGGGTTTCCACTTTCTGCAGACAACAAAAGTCCTGAAGACGGATCTCGAGGTACAGGCTGCTCAAACGACCTGCAAATTTCGTGAAGTGGCCTGCTGGGTTTTGGCGGACAAGCGAAATTCTCCGTTGTGGTCCTTCTGTATCTGAATGGTCAGCATCAGACCGTTGAAAAGTTGAACTGACTGCAGGAGGTGATCGCTCTCGTGTTCTTTTTGACGGTGTTGTGATTGGTCTTGCTGCCGGGATTGTTGAATCTTCGTTTTCAGATGCAGTTGTGTCTTCTGAATGTTCTTCAGCATTGTTCGAATTTGACCTGTTGGCAGCTTTGGCCTGGGCTTCGGACCGCATTTCATGTTTAGTCCTCGCCACTTCTTGTAACAATTTTAATCGTGCTTCAAAAAATCCGCCTTCACGAATCAAATTAAACGTTCTCTGTCTGAGATGCAAAGGACCTCTGTACTTTAATTCCGCTGGAAGATCTCTAGTAGTCTCATAGATTGTTAGATCTATTGTGTAGTAGTCACCAAGAGATTTCCTCAAACTCTGGAGGTAAGTTACACCTAAAGAAAACAACAGGTTGGCTCGCGAATCTAAACAAAAACGAACCTTCAGTTGAGGGGAAATGCACGTGCCACAATGAAGCGCTCAAGCCTGCCAAGTGTTGTCTTTGAAATGCACAAATTGAACACCAACCATCAACAGAAATACCCCTACTAAAAGGAACTGCATCGAGTATCTCGTAACAACTCGAACAAAATAAACGTTGACAAGCTTGATTAACACAAACTCGGCCATTAGGAAGAGAGGGCGAGCGTCGACCACAACCGTGACATCTGGCAAGCCTGAGAAGGCGGTCCAGCTTAGATGGCATCCTTTTTGAATCCACTGCTTCGTCTCTCTGCCATCTGAAAATGATAATAATCGCCAGTTCCCGATTCTCCAGTCCGTGGAGCCACCCTCAATTTCACCATCAAAAACTATGATGCCAGGTATACTATCTGAGCCACCAGGAAAAGTCATCTGACTTGGTGGGTTGGAGAGCGCGCAGGGCCACTCTTGTTCAAAGAACAATCAAAAATCTGAACGTTCTCACGTCCATCGTCTTTCTGTTGGAACCAGTTCACCAAGTAGAACTGTTTCTTCGTCGATCGGCTCAGATCTTATAATTGGAAGGTTTTTTGGTGCAGGACCAGCGCGAATCCGCCCTGCAATAATCATTCGAATTTCTCATCAGCAAATAACTTTCGTACCTGATGTATCGTAGTGCGATCCATGACATGGACATAGCCATCCTCCATAGGCGCCTCCTCTGTGTGGAGTGCATCCGAGATGTGTGCATGACGCGCTGCAGATGAGCCACTCCGGATCTGGACATCGATCAGCGTCCAATTCTGGGTCGCGCAAGTCATCAACTCTCGCATCATCCGAACTGACAAAATGACAGACTATGGACTTGACGTATTGATGAGTAATCTGGAATCTGATAATGAATGTAACTCACCGAGCAGACCGGATTTCAGAGTCTGTGCGATGGCGAATGAACGCCTGATTTCCACCAGCCAGAACAGTCATTTGCTCCCCTGGCCGAAGATGCTTGAACTTCACTTCGACGGGCTTCGGCCACTGCATTCCGGGCTGATGAACACATGAATAGGATGTTGGAATGCTCACTAGTCCATGCTGCAAACTCTTGCTGGTCCACTCACCTCCACCGTCATATATTGATGGCAGATCCAGTAGAGTATATGTCTGATTGTGACGACACCATATGCAATGACGCCTGCTTGACACAGATAGTAGAGGGGTCTCCGATCAGCATGACCTGGTTGCAATCGGGGTCTCCTCAATTCCATGATAATATTCTGGTGGAGATTGTTCCGGAGTGTAGTTGTTCTCAGCATATCCAACAGGCTGAAAATTGGAGGGCTCAAATCGCGCTATTGATTGAATCGCTGGTTCATTGGGCGTGTGCCATATTGAGGTTCTCGTCACTTGCGCCCCCACCGCAAGCTCACCCTTCGACAAATCGGGCGTTCGTGGAAATGTGTTGTCAAAATACTGATAGTAAAAGGCTTCTGGAGAAATGTGAGCCCATTCCATTCGATGAGGATCTACGACGGACATTGGGTACTCAGCAATGTCATCCGTCGGCTTGACATCCACGTGCTTCGGGGCGTGCTTCTTTTCAATTTCAAACAATTTAGGGTCATCGGCTTGATCAAACAGATTTCTGTAGAGAGGACGGTCAGAAGAGGGAGGCATCAGGTATTCGTCATCATCAACACGAGCAGCAAAGGGAAAATAGTAGCTCTTCGGTATATAGCCACGTTTCTGCTGAAAGAGGGCATTTCCCCTCAAGCATGATTTATTCGTTAGCAACGACAACCCTCTATGAAAAACCATATCAGGAAGAAGGGAAACTGAATCTCACGGGATATGACGGTTCAGAGAGAAACAGGACGACCTAGCAATTCAGATTTTATTGCAAAGCACAAACGAAGTATCGGAAAACTAGGGAGGTCAAGTCAGTCATAGAGAAATACCAAAAACGGTTACAATGCAGTGCATAGATTTGTTTTCCCATTGAACAGTAACAGTTCCATCTAGCGATTGATCCCAATAGCATGTGCTGAACAAGTGGAATCCAGTATTACTCCTCTGCAGAACGACTACCGTTACAACGTATTTAAAAGCGTCACTCATCTTCTGGAGGTTTTCAAGAATCCCTAAAACAAGAAATGAAACAATTCAGAGAACCCGAAGAACGGACTCACCTGCTGTGATCGTATCTACCCAATTCGGAACTTCATTTGTTTCGTAGTTGGCAGACCCTAGAACGTTTTCGACAGTTGAGTTCACAGCGCTGTGTACTTGATCAGTAAAGGATGAAAATTCTTGTGCCTTCTTCATTATGAAAGACGGAGAGCTGCTTTGCAGTAACTGGTGGTGGTCCTCAAGTGGGCATGCGTCACATTCGGACAGCAGACGACTGATTCCTCGTTAATACGCAAAATTGTCTATGCGTGTACGTCTGGAAGAGCTGTGTACGTGAAAGAATGTGCATAACGAAAACAAGAAAGAAAAAATATTAGGGTGCAGCCTTTTTCGTGCGTGTCAACTTCCACATGAGAAAAATGATAAAAAGATAGTTGATTGCAGAGAGAATGATATTCAACAGATTCATTTGCCAAAAGCTATGAGCAGCAGTTGACCAGGAATACATGGGATTGACCACAAGGGCACAAATTCCCGCAATAAAGCTAGCCAAGCCTGAAGAGAAGTTAGTTCATCGGAGAAATGTCAATCGAACTTACCCGCTAGCTTGCCCATGTCTTCAGGAGGGAATATACAAGAAACGTAGCAATAAATCTGACTGAGAAGAAAACCAATTCCAGGGAAAGCTAAAATTGTACTCGAGTAGTTCATTATAGAAGCGAGTGTTGGTGAATGAGATAGTTGGCCGATAAGAAGGACGATAAAGACAAACATATTCGTGGTATTCAGGCCTAAAATGACTTCAAGGGGTCCGAATCTGGATTGGAAGAAATGATATAGCAAAGAAGAAGAATCAAAAAACTCACCTGTCAACGATTAATCCTAATATTGGTCCTGGAATGAATGCAAGAGTGTTTGCGATTGACAACGCTGTTGCAGCATTCCCAAGCTGTTTGGTAGCTGATGCCAAGTAAAAGTTATTTCTGATCATATTGATGATGTTAACCGCGATAATTGGGCAGTAGAGAGGAGACATCAGTCCCTTTCCCAAAGAGTTACACTGTGATGCAAAGCGTTTCCATCCCCCTTCCTCACTGGTTGAATCCTTGCTCTCGAAGTGGAGGTCTGTTGGGTTCTTTTCACACGCTCCAGTTTCAAGCACACTTGAAGACGAAAAGCGTGATTCCTCAGTTTTTTGGAGACGGTATGGATGCCGGGGAATCAGAAGGACAACACAGACGAAGCACACGCTGTACATTCCGAGAAAGGTCAACGCCATATACCGAAAAGTGAATCCAGGAATCCAATGGGAACAGACCCTCATGAGTAGAGGAAGGACGTTGCTAACACTTCGAGCGGCTCCAAGAATCGCTATAACAGTGGAGACATATCCGGGAAACAAATTCGCTAGCGAGAGAGTCCCGAAGAAAGCAGGATCGGTTCCTAGAGAGAAGCAAGTCGGAAACAAATACTCAAAATTAGAAATACTCGAAATTAGAACTTACCGGCTCCCATCAGGGCGAATCCGATGGCGTAAGTCTTTCGCGTGTTTGTCGTGAGAGATAACAAGAGCCATCCACAGATCAACAATATATTTCCAAAAAGGCAACAGACTTTTGGGCCAACGACGTCTAGCATCATTCCTGCAATGAATGTGAACGAGAACATGCAAAGAGTCGTTAACGGTAATAAACTGGCGATTTTCTCCTCCTGAGCTTCGCAAATCTCTTCACCAGGGCACAAATTAGAGTACGCGTTGTCCTGAGGAGGATAAGAACATGAATCTACAATACTTAACACGATTCAGATTCTCTTGGAGGAGAAAGAGGAGATGGACGCTCTTCTTACTTCTTTCAGAATGATATCCCACTCGCTCCAATTGAAAAAGTGTGACCCTGTAGTGATATAAGTGAACACACCTAGTGCTTTTCTGTCACTCACCAACACAGATTGTGTAAATAACGATAATTATGAGAAGAACGAACCGATTGATGGAAAACGGAATATAGTTATCGTAATTTTCATCGCTGTTGCATCTGTCGTCTTGCGAGGGTGCAACTTCCAGGGAGCTTGGTCGTTCTGGTTTCCATTGCAGCTATTGGAGGAAGCACAAGCCAAAAAGATATTCGAAATTAAAGTAAATTTATTGATTTAAAGTGAACCTATTGATTAGAAGCAAAACAAATTGGACTAAAATGCATTAGTTGTTACGACTGAGAGGAAAACTATCAATGAAAAGCCATAAAAGGCAAAGCAGGGCAATCTTCAGCTGGATACCCACACATAGGAAGGTGCTCTGCTTGTACAGGTAAGCTGTTCGCTTTTGTTTCACTACCATAGACTTCAATTTCAATGTTTTTTTGAAAAGGAAAAACTTGCGCATGGCACGAAAAAGTCTTAGTTCATAAGTTGCTTAAAAATTGCACCTAAGAGACGCACTTTCTGTGAACGATGGAGGGCCCTGATTCATCGTATTCCTCCCGAGTGATCCACATTGTATTGAAAGTAGACAGAGAAGAAAGAATTGAACCACCAATCCAGACTGAAAACTTTCTTTCTGGAGGGGCAATCACTTTCACTTGCATTGTTTGTGGTACAAGATCCGTCAACTCTTTTGTCATGCGCTCGCCAATACCTTCATACATCGTGGTTCCTCCAGACAGAACGACATTCGAATAGAGTTCTCGTCGAATATCGACATCGCACTTCATGATTGAATCAAATGTTGTGTAGTGGACGCCCTTGGCTTCACGACCCAGTAAAGCAGGCTGGAAAAGACCTTCTGGACACTCAAACCTTTCCTTCCCAACGACAATCATATTCCCATCAGGAAGCTCATACGTCTTATCGAGTTCATCTGACTCTTCGGCCTTCTTGCATTCTTCAGCGTAGTCAAGTGCCACATAACAAAGCTTTTCTTTGATGTCCCTGACAATCTCTTTTTCCGCAGAAGTGGAGAATGAATGCCCACGGTGGTGCAAAATTTTCATCATGAATTCAGTTAAATCACGTCCAGCTAAATCCAAGCGCATCACAGCATGAGGAAGAGCGTAACCTTCATAGATGGGAACTGTGTGGGAAACTCCATCACCAGAATCCATGACTATTCCAGTCGTGCGCCCAGAAGAATAAAGAGAAAGAACGGCTTGAATTGAGACGTAGGTGGCTGGGCAGTTGAATGTTTGGAACATCATATCGACCATCTTTTCACGGTTGCTTTTGGGATTGAGAGGCGCTTCTGTAAGAAGGACCGGGTGTTCCTCTGGAGAAATACGTAGTTCATTGTAAAATGTATGGTGCCAGATCTTCTCCATATCATCCCAGCTTGTGATGATACCATGGGCAATGGGATAGGATAGCTGGAGGATTCCACGTTTTGACTGAGCCTCATCACCAACATAGCAATCCTTTTGCTCCATTCCGACCATGATTCCAGCGTGTTTCGGTCGGCCAATGATCGAAGGGAAGACATGGGAAGGCGCATCCTCTCCAGCAACGCCAGCCTTCACCATACCAGAACCATTATCAACGACAACTGGTGTAGCCTCTTCACCCATTGTGTTATCTTGTAAATTAGTGAGTGGTTTGATTGAACGGGGCAACGAAGAGAAAAGGGCCGGGCTTCACTTTGGAAGATAGAAAGCTGTGACGTTTGCTTAAGTTATTAGGAGACATGCAAAGTGGTACGTGGGACAAGAAATGCCTCGAAAACACGACTCCTGACACCGTTAGTGCAAGTTCATCATGTATAGAAGAAACCCAATAATGAGGTCAAACAACGAAAAAGATAAAAAGGAGACTATCACATTAAGATGCAAGTTTAATTCCACCGCTTCCTCCACTCTTGAAAAGAAGAATTACTTCTTCTCCGACTTTGCAGTAGAGATAATGATCTGGCTCGTACGAGACATGCGACGCAAAGTGGCGTCCGACGATACAATGCCATTTAGGGCCAAATTTCTTGTCGAACTTGCGCTTGATATATTCAGCGACCTCCTTTTCCAAACCGTACTTCTTCAGTCCAGATAAAATGTAATCCTTAGCCGTTAATGCCATCTCCTCATTCATTTTGCAAGTCTTGAACTCTGGCTCTGGAATGTCCATCATAGTTGGCTGTTGAGGAGGTGCAACTTTGGTCGAAGCCATTGCGACTAGTTTAGGGAAATCGAAGGAGTGAACTTGAGATGAGTGTGATCCACAAGGCGATCAGGTTTAGGGGGGCTCGAGACTGTCGTATTTCTACATGTAGACTCCTAGAGAGCAGACTGTTCTTAACGAAAAAACTGCTCTCAACTCAACCAAAATAGAAAAAAAACGAAGGCTCATAAAAAACCACAATCACCTTGCTACTCTTGTGTTGTATTACAAGCGGAGAACGCTGTCTTGTCTATTTTTGCATCATCTGCATCAAAAGCAAACCATCAGCCTCAATTTTTCATTAATTTCAGTAACGTCGCGCATTAATGAAATTCAAGAGATGCGGGATCAATAATTACAGAGATGTACGATCAATAATGATCCGAATTGATCAGCTAGAGTGGGGACTTCATTCTCTGGTGAACGTCTTCGTGTGATGCGTCACACATGACTCGTGTCCTGAAAACCCTTTGATTTTATCGCGTTTCTTGTTGGGTGGTTCATGGATGATTCCAACATTTGATGAGATTTTTTGTCGTGTGCTCTTTACCGGCGAACCTGATTCGATCTGCATGCGACTCGCGCATACTGCCCCCAACTCGAAAGTACTTCCAAACTTCGAAACGTTTTATCGTAGTATTATTCAGCTTCTTGTTTCTCCTGTATCACTTTTAAACTCCTTTGATAGCGATGGGTGAAGAGGCTACACCAGTTGTCGTTGATAATGGTTCTGGTATGGTGAAGGCTGGCGTTGCTGGAGAGGATGCGCCTTCCCATGTCTTCCCTTCGATCATTGGCCGACCGAAACACGCTGGAATCATGGTCGGAATGGAGCAAAAGGATTGCTATGTTGTGATGAGGCTCAGTCAAAACGTGGAATCCTCCAGCTATCCTATCCCATTGCCCATGGTATCATCACAAGCTGGGATGATATGGAGAAGATCTGGCACCATACATTTTACAATGAACTACGTATTTCTCCAGAGGAACACCCGGTCCTTCTTACAGAAGCGCCTCTCAATCCCAAAAGCAACCGTGAAAAGATGGTCGATATGATGTTCCAAACATTCAACTGCCCAGCCACCTACGTCTCAATTCAAGCCGTTCTTTCTCTTTATTCTTCTGGGCGCACGACTGGAATAGTCATGGATTCTGGTGATGGAGTTTCCCACACAGTTCCCATCTATGAAGGTTACGCTCTTCCTCATGCTGTGATGCGCTTGGATTTAGCTGGACGTGATTTAACTGAATTCATGATGAAAATTTTGCACCACCGTGGGCATTCATTCTCCACTTCTGCGGAAAAAGAGATTGTCAGGGACATCAAAGAAAAGCTTTGTTATGTGGCACTTGACTACGCTGAAGAATGCAAGAAGGCCGAAGAGTCAGATGAACTCGATAAGACGTATGAGCTTCCTGATGGGAATATGATTGTCGTTGGGAAGGAAAGGTTTGAGTGTCCAGAAGGTCTTTTCCAGCCTGCTTTACTGGGTCGTGAAGCCAAGGGCGTCCACTACACAACATTTGATTCAATCATGAAGTGCGATGTCGATATTCGACGAGAACTCTATTCGAATGTCGTTCTGTCTGGAGGAACCACGATGTATGAAGGTATTGGCGAGCGCATGACAAAAGAGTTGACGGATCTTGTACCACAAACAATGCAAGTGAAAGTGATTGCCCCTCCAGAAAGAAAGTTTTCAGTCTGGATTGGTGGTTCAATTCTTTCTTCCCTGTCTACTTTCAATACAATGTGGATCACTCGGGAGGAATATGATGAATCTGGGCCCTCCATCGTTCACAGGAAGTGTGCCTCTTAAATTTTTTGCCATTTTTTGCGAAGTGCTTTATACCTGTTTCATGTTCAAACACAAGGTCTCAATAACCTTCTCGCTATTTCTCTAGTGGCCAAAGCCGGCAACCTCAATTGTGTTTCCAGGTGCAGAAGAATGTCTTCCATGAAGGGACGCAGATTTCAATGGCTTCTTGTTGTCGCAAAGGGAGTTGCACCAGCGGAAAATCGAAAGCACAAAAAAAGAGGGATGAAGAAATAAAGGTATGGAGATCAGTGATGCCTTTATTTCTCCATTTATTTGTTAGCAAGCAGCATCCGGTGCAACCCCGATTATTTCTTCAAATTTTGGTAAGAGTGCCAACAATATCTGCGTTATTTGTTTCTTTTTCAGTACGAGCTCCACCTGAGAGTCATGACAGACGCACAATTATCTACGTGTGGGGAAGTGAGTTCTTCAATCTGATTCCCTTATTAATCTTCTTTTTTCAGAACGATCTCTCATTCATGAGGATGCCATTTTTGATGATTTTGGTGGAAGTCCTTCAGATGGAATGACTATCGATAGATCCGTAGCGTCAGGTGCTGTCTCCTTCGATTCTGCCAATGCTACCAGTGGCCACGGGAGCGCGTTCTTACAACAACAAACAGAAATACCGCCGAGCCCTATAGACGTTCCAACGCGATCAGTGGCACCGTCGACAATTCAATCGTCGCCAGATCACTTTCGTAGACTTCCTGCCCATCAGTCTCGGCACCGTGGACAGACCGAAACAGTCCCATTGACAATAACGTCGCTCTCCAGAACAAGAATCACCGAGGTGGCCTGCGGTGACACGCACCTTTTGTTGCTGAGCTCGGCAGGAGATGTTTACGCCTTTGGGGTGGGGCGTTCGGGGCAGCTTGGGCTGGGGGAGGAACGGCTTTTCGTTCAAAAGCCGGAGAAGGTCCCCCAGCTCGGACACGTTATGCAAATTGCTACTGGGGCCAGCCACTCTGTAGCTCTGACTTATGAGGTGAACTTTATGGTATTGCCGTCAACTCATTTTCTCTATCAGGGTTCTGTTTACGTTTGGGGAGATGCGGAAAACGTCGGTGACGCATGCGGCGTTGATCGACCGTATCCGAGCAAAGTCCCTGAGACCCAGTCGTTCAATGAACGGGTCACGCTAATCGCTGCAAGGTTTTCTCAAACGATGGCCATCACAGGTGAGCGAAATTGTTCTCTACCCAATCAGTTTCTCATCAGCATTTCCTTTTTGAGTTTTCAGATAGCAACAAGTTGTTTTGTCTGGGGCGAAACGTTTTTCAGTCACTACTACACGGTTCCTCATTGCAGTCAGCGATTCCCCTCGAATGAAGTGATCATTCAGGTGTCGATCGGGAGACAATTTGCGCTTGCACTTTCTGGTGAGAATCAATAATAAAACAGTTCATCATGAAACTTCCAAGAATGAAGCGCTTTGTAGAATCTGGTCGCGTGTTTGCATGGGGAGATGGCACATATTGCGAACTAGGAAGATTGAAGAGTGGAGAGTCAAAAGGTCGGTCACCCTTATGATATAGAAAACTGCGGCTTCCTTGTGTTCAGTCAGCTCTGTCTCTACTGGAGCTCTCGTGCCGACAGAAGTAACGTTGGCAGATGGGAATGCCAATTTGCTGCCCAAGGTACTCCATGATTGCAGAACACTCTTTTTTCATTCGTTGTTATTTTCTAGATTGTCGGAGTCGCTACTGGAGCACGTCACAGTTTACTCTTGAGCGAGGATGGTCGTGTTTACTCATGGGGTGACAATCTTTGCGGACAATGTGGTATTCCGCTGCATTCTGTACGATTCGACGTTCCTAAGGTAATTCGCTCTTGCCATGTCCCAAATCATACGCTTTTTTCAGCAAGTGAAAATGCAAGTTGGAGATACGCGTCTGCCCATACGGTCAATTGGCGCTGGTTTGAGGCATTCGGCGGCCATTACAAGTGAGAAATGTCTGCCTTTCAATCAATTTGCCTTTTTTTTCTCCAGGTAATAATCAACTTCTCTTATGGGGGCACTCTGCACATCACAAGCTGATTCATACCGCACCCGCAGTCAGTTTGCTAGAAGAGCGGTTTGGTGTCGGGGTGGGACACATGGGAGTTGCTGTGAAATCTGGGATCAAAGATTGTGTTCCTAAAGTGAGTCGAGATCTTTCAAGATGCATCTCTCTTCTTCGACGTCCCTTTCAGCCTCGATTGGTTTATTCGTTGCTCAATCAAAAAGTTTCATGCGTTTGTCTCGGAGATGAGTTCACTGTTGTTGTAACGGGAGATGGGGTAGTTGGCGCTGGTCTCAGCAGTATGTTTGCTGAAGGATCCACTCGATTGGACTTGCAGAGCAGTCGGTATGATGGAAGCGTCAGAGCGGAGGATTCCAATGAGGATAAAATGGACCACTGATAAAGATCAGTGGTGATTACAAGGGGTGAACAAACAATGACCTAAAATGTTTGATGAACAATAAATGACATTCGACAGCATCACGATTCAGGCGTGAAGAGTATCGCGCGATTGGGAGGAATCGTTACAGCTGTCACTAAGAGCAACTCAAAGTCCTCGTGTCAGAGGGTCACATGAAGGAGATATGTGATGATGTTGCTCGGTCGTTGTATGCGATCATCCTTTTCGCAAGTTCTTTTTTATGATTGCGAACACATTCAACCTTGGCCGTCATTCGGAATTTTTATCGGAGTTCTCTGAACAAAGAAAACGCGCTTGTCGTAGGCGTTTTGAGTTTCTTCAGTGATTCGATAGACAGTGAACCTTTTCGTATTCATGAATGCAACACCTTGCAAAAGCGTGAGGTTTGTAGAAGGTTCAACCTATTCAGAAAAAATGTCAAGCCGATATTCAAACACAGGAATAGTTGGTGAGATAAAGAGCGCTCCAATCAATCAACATGCAAGTCTCCTATCAACTCAAACGGCAACTCAAAATTCTTATCCGTGGTTCCTTCGATCTATCACTCGTCATACGTCCAACGCGCTGATGCAACGGCCATTAAGTTACGAGACGTTAGCTCGAGTTGAACCTTCTCTTCAACCTCATCACGAATCTCCAATCCTTCCATATAAAATTTCAACGGTGCGCTTCTCATCATTTCCCGTTAGGAGATGCATTAGTACCCCAGCGTATCGTGAAATCAGGTCCTCAACAACTTCGTTAGATGGCCATACATGGTTTACCGAGGGGCGAACTGAGGTCTACAGGACGCCAAGAGGTATGCGCGAAACATTCGCGTCTGTCGTCCATCAACCTTATTCACAAACACCTCGAACTGCAGAAGTAATCCATCGTTCTAGCGACAATTGTCAATGCAACAGTCCATTCATTGGGACATCGGCATCGTCTCTTCTTCATTCTCTATCAACAACAGTTTGTGAGCCAAACTCCAACGAGTTAATCGTGAAACGTCTTGAGGAGATGGAGAAATTGGAAGTTCAGAAGAATTTAGAAATCGAGAATTTAAAGAGAGAACTTGAAGAAAGAACGGAAGAGAAAAAAGGGAAAATTTTGAGTGTTTCATGTGGGAAGGAGAATAAAGCGAGGCGAACGTTAAATATCTCGGTTCGAAGTCTTTCAGAAGAATCGGTATGCAATTCGGATGAATCATCACTCATACGGGTCGGAGGAAAGAATGGAATTGTTTCACGAAGCTCAAGAGGAAGGCTGCAGGCGCGACTGAAAGGATTTCGGTCTGAGATAAGAAAACTCCGCGAGATGCTCAAAAGCTCCAGACTAGAAGAAGCGGACCAAGAAGACAAACGAGACGTTTGGAGCGACCAAGAATACAAGCAAGAGGAGCAAGGAGGCAAGGACGAGGTTGTGGAGCAGCAAGAAGCACCAGAAGTGATCGACAAATGGAGAACTCGAGGGGCGTCAGAATCTTGGGTAATACACGAAGCGCTACATGGGTATCAGAAAATGCTGGACGAGGCTCTTGAACGTGAACGACGAAGTGGATCAACATCAAATATAGAGGCCTTGCTTGAAGAGCAAAGAGACCATTTCAAAAGAGAAGTGAACACGTTCTTAGAAGGATTGAAAAAAGAAAGAGAGATCTTCCGTGAGAATGAGGAAGATGCGAGAAGAAGGCTTGTTGCGAGACAGTGTTCGTTAGAAAGGGACGCAATGCAGAAACAACAAGAAGCGTTTGTCCGAATGCTGGGGCTTGAACGAGAAAAGAGAGTTGCAGAAGAACGAGGGAAACAAGAACAATTTCAGCATCTCAAAGAACTCACAGAAGAACGTGTTCAAGTGGAGAAAGAAAGTAGAGAGAAGCAACTCAAGATGCAAATAATGGAGGAGAAAAAGCATCCTGATAAAACCAAAGAATCCAGCAAGACAGTAACATCGGTTTCATGTTGTCTAAACATTGTCCCTGAATCCGGTGGCATGATCGTCTCTGCGCCCTATTGTAAATATACAGTGTGCAAAGAACCAATAATGATGAAGCTTGTGGCGGAAGGAAGAAGGAAGAATAGGAAAGCACAAAGTTGATCCAAGTGTTTTTTGTTGTAAAACAGTCGGATTTGTTCCGAAGTTTTTTCATCTTCTCGGAACTGGTGTGGTCCTCATGACCTGAAACCTCATCGAGGCCGGTTGGATATAAGAAAGGAGACGTTGCTGAGATAATTGAGTAATAGCCCCTTGCCAGCAAATTTGATGCCACATTCCACTTTGGCAGGCTCACCTTATGAATCCCTTATTCCGACTTTTCGCCGGGTTTAGTGCGCGGTTCCTAGAGCAGAATCTCTACCAAATGCTGACAGTGAGATCCTGAATCAGACCAAAAGGGCATTCAAAGGCCTATTGTTTTAACAGAAAAGCAACGCGTTCCAGGTTTTTGCTATTAGAAGTAGTCGGTTCACTCGAGACTTCATCCAAACCTGCAAGAGCGAGCTAAATAACGTGGGTCATCTATGTTGCAGCTTCAACTCTTCTCCATCCCATCAGGCCGGCGGTCCGTTGAAACGCCTGAAGCCGAAGTAGACGGTTGATTGCTTTCTCTAGTTGGCTTCATGATTCGCTTGATATTTAAGGGCCAATAGTTCAGTTGGATAGAATGCCCGGCTTCGGACCGGGTGGTCGTGGGTTCGAATCCTGCTTGGCCTATTTTTTTAGTTTTATTTTGTTTTTTTTATTCTCTGTATTTTTTCTCGATTGTTTGTGAATGAGATTGCGCCAGTAGGCCGAAAGGACGACCGCTACAACTCTATAGAGACAAAATCATGAGACAAGATGAAACTAGCAGGATAGTTTACCGTCCAATCGGAATTATAAGAACATCAGACAGCGCTTCAAAAATATCAGACGCTGCGAAACTCAATATTCGGGAATCAAATATGAAATCTTACCTGGAGAGAATCCAGACGTCAGAGCAGCAAGGATCCAACCCATAACGCCAACCGTAACTCGTCGGGACCCTGACACCTTTGATGTCCCAAGCGAACAAGAGAGCTCTTACCTCGCTCTATGCCATCAATAATAGAAGTGGCGACTTCATCAGCGGTATACAAACCAGGAGTATCTTCGATGATCTTTGTGATCTGAAAATAATGACACCTGGCTATGAGGGAGATGCTATGAAGTGTATGAGGAGAATCCTACTTCTGGTTTGCGGCGGTTTTCGATCTCAAATCCGGGAGTGTCTGAGCAAAAAAGATTCAAAACCAGCAGTGGATAGGTGACCAGTTGACCTGTATTTGGAGGGAATGCACAAACGATTCTAATGTTCAGAGGGTCACATTCCATCGTTAAAGCCTCCCAAATTCCTCGTATAGCAAACTTTGACGCTCCATAAGCAACAAACCCGTAAATATTAAGCTGAGACGCAAGTGAACCCAACAAGACGATCACTCTCTTCGGATGCTCGCCCGCATCTTCTTCACGTTGAACGAATTTCATCAACTGGGGGAAGGCAGATCATCATTTTTTCTACATTTAAACAAAACTCACTTCTTGACATGGATACATCGTTCCGCACACATTCAGTCGCAATTGAATTTCCAATTCTTGCGGCTCTAGAGAGTCGAATTCATCACAAACGCATGTCCCAGCACAGTTGATCAAAATATCAATCGGACGAATTTTGGTTGGAACACATTTTCCGTCTGTCGTTCTTATTGCAACCAGACCTGCAGATTTCGCTGCAGCAAGCGCCTCTTGCCCTTCAGAATCCTTCGAGAAAACATCCAGAGAAGTTTCATTCACAATCTTGAACAGCTTCGTCACACTTTGAGCGTCAGTGACATCACATGAAAACGCTCTAACGACACACGAGGAATTCGATTCCGAGTCGCTTGCAGAACGGCACTCATAGGGACCGGCTGTAGTCGAGAGCTGCTCCACTGCCACCTCCAATTTCTTCGGACTTCTTGCGATAAGTGTAACGGCAAAAGCACCTTTTCTTACGCATTCCTGTGCCAAACTCAATCCGATTCCTAGAGCAAACGGCAGCCAGATCCGAGCGAATTACTGCTCTAGTGTTACCTTCAGAACCCCCAGTGATGCACACGTGTTTGCCCTTGATCTCCAATTCTTTGGGCCGCAACCACCGAAGAACAAAGGTCGCTAGAAGAGCAGTGGCAACAATGACAATGGCGCCGAACACAAGCATCAGCGCTAGCCCCTAAGGAAGCTGTCCCAATGGATTCTCGGTGTACCTGATCCGTCTGTCACAGAAAATGGGAAAAAAAGCGAAGAAGGGTTCGTCGAAAAAGAACTCAAAGAGTGGGATCGAGGACTACGGCTACGATGACGTGGATGCGCATTACGAAAAAAGATACGGCGACTCGTCGACGAAAGACTTAATCCCCTTGATGGCCGATGGTGAGACCACACCCTCTGATTAGTGTCAACGGTTCTTGTAGATTCTGAGAACTCGGATGCTGATGAATTGGACATGAAGGCGATGGGGCTGGAAAATCACGGAAATGAAGTTGGAGGTGATAAGGAGGAGAAGGAGACTGTAAGACGAGATTGGGGCAAAAAAGCTGCAGATTATTATGAAGAAGATCTTGATTTCGATAATGAAGATGGAGATTCTGATGGGAGCGACTTAGAGATGCAAGAAGAAGAAGCAGTAGAATATCAGAAGGAACATTTAGAAAAATTAAGGGAGGAAGATTTTGAAACTGAAGATTTATTATTGGCTGCAACTGAGGGTGACACACGCGTTTCAACAAGTTTGGTTTCGACATTTGAAAAGGTAGCAAATGGAAATATTCGGGTTATTGACGTTTGTTTCCGATTGTTTCAGGAATTAGATTCCATCTTGAGTGGACTTGACACTTCCATCGACACCGAAGCATTAAACAGTTCAGATGTTGCAGCCTCTCATGGAACGTCCACATTGAAGACGATGACAGAGGAAGAGAAAAGATTATTAATTGAAAAGGACCATCCAGAGCTCTTGCCCCTTTTAAAGGAAATGAAAGAAATTTCCTCTGAAATTGCTCAGAGGGTTTCACCGCTTCTGGACAAAGTTGAATTAAGAGAATTGTTGACTTCTGAGGTACTGAAGCTCGTTCTAAGATTTTCATCATTTTGATTTGCAGGGACTCTCGTATTTGGAAATGAAGCACCATCTTCTTCTTTGTTATCTCCAATATCTCTGTTATTATATTCTTCTCAAATTGAGCGGCCAGTTTATCTCAAATCACCCAGTCGTTGAGCGTTTAATTGAGTTAAAGGTTCTCCTAACGAAAATAAGACCAATTGAAACGAGACTCCAATCTCAAATGTCGAACCTTCTGTCTGAAACTCCCGCATCTCATCAAGACTTGAAGCCGCGACCCGACTTGCTTGTTCCCTTCGGGTCTGAAGATCCGATGGCATTTAGTAAAAATTTGACACTCTCCGATTCTGAGGATGAAGAAGAGGAGGAAGAAGCGGCGAAGACAGGAATCTACAAACCGCCTAAACTTGTAGTCATGGACTATGTAGACAAAACGAAGGTCCGACCGAATGATGAGTGATGCTGCATGACATGTGTTACGCTTCTTTAGAATGCTCTTCAAAGGAAGCTGGAGAAGCAAAAGGCAAAGGACAAAGAAAGAATGAAGAGGAGTGAAATCGTTGATGCCTTAAGAGAAGAGTTCCAAGAAGTGAGTTGCATTATAGTGATTCTATGTCTAGGCTAGATGAGATAGATGTCTACGCTAGATGAATGAGATCTGTGATGTTGTCACTGTTGCTTGCTTGTCTTGAAACGCTTTTGCTTATTTGTTGATTCATTAGACACCCCTGGAATTGGGAGGAGCATCTTTGGACAAGCTCGCTTCAGAAAGTAAAGTTTCCCGGCTGATGCTCGAACGTCAAGCAGAGAAAGAAGCATTCGAAGAAGAGAACATGTTCCGATTGGCGAGAACGAAAGCAGACAAAAAAGGTAATAAACTGGGAGAAAAGTTGAGCTGTTGTTGCTTCACAGTGGCAGTTGAACTAAATTATGAATATCTCTTCTTTTTGTCGCAGCTCAACGGTTGCTTAAAGAAAAACAGAAATTCATTTTGGCTGGGGGCTCGACGTTGAATGAATTAACATCATTTGCGGATTCTGCAATTGATTCAACATTTGATGATCCGTCGTTGGGGTTTGGAGGAAGCAAATCGACAGCCCGACTGGCTCAAAGTCTTTCTGCAGTGCAACAAGCATCGGATAGATTAGAAAGATCTAAGAAAGCAACGAAATCACAAGAAAGCGATTTCCACGTAACAGCAAGAGAAGTGAACAGGAGGAAGAAGCACGCAGTTGATGCTGACGGGTAAGCGTTGAGAGTAAGGACAGGCAAACATTCCGCTCTCTTGCAGACATTTCGGTGGAGGTATCGAATCTGATGATGGGAATGAGGAAACTGAAATGCCTGGCGTGATTCGTGAAACACTCGAAACCAAGAAATCCAAGAAAGATCTTAAAAAAGCAAAATATAGAGAACAACAGTTGAAGACTCTACCGACGCTAGACGATGAAGTTGAGGGGAAAAGAGGAACATCTTACACCATAGAGAAGAATAAAGGACTCGTCCGTAAGAGAAAGCGAATTGAGGGAACAGCAAGAGCCCATAACCGTATGAAATATGAAAGGAAACTCAAACGACTTAAAGTAAGAATGACTAGTCAGAAATCTTGTCATTATTTTGTACCACAGGGAACGCAACAAGATATGCGGGAGGGAACTGCTTCTGGAAACTACGGTGGTGAAGCTACTGGTATTAAAACGCACCTGAAGAAGTCCATAACACTGGCTTAGTTTTTGCTGACACATCACAATACACATTCAGAGTCGCACAGCATGTGAAAATTAGAAAAAAAGCAAAAAGCAAAAACTAAAAACTGTTTACAGAAGAACCCAACGACCTACATCCTGAGAAGAACGAATGGACATTTTCGGTCTCTTCAACCTTCGCTTACCATCCGATGTTTGATCTTAAAGAATTGCGCAAAATTTCAGGATCGACTGTATCGTTGCGGAGAGAGAAAAGCTGATCGCGTTTCCTTTCAATCGACCGTTCGAAAGTTAATCTCTTTTCGAGTGGCGACGCTAACGTCTCATCGATGACCAATCGCCTCATAAGCCATCGCCATCCTGTAAGCTGAAACGAGAAGGATGATGAACAACTATTGAGATCTCTAGCCATAGAAGAATAGTCATATGATCTTGGTGACTTACTCTTGCAATAACAAATGGAACGTTCAAAACAAAATAGAAAAGTAGTCCAGCGAGCAAACCATGCGAAATGGAACATGTAAATGTAATCATCGCAATTGTTATGTATGCTGGAAGAGAATGATTGATTTTATCCCAAGGTATTGCCATGACAGCACCCATCATAAAACTTCCCACAAGGACAAGAATGGGTGAAGTAGCACTTGTGGGAACGTATCGAATAAGAGGGACAAAGAAAGCTGAGAGTCCAAGGAGAGCTGCACTAACGAGAGACGTCAATCCAGTGCGGCCTCCTTGATTAATAGCCGCAGCTGACTCCAAGAAACTGAGAAATGAGAACGTGTCTGAACCGTCAATGCTGGCGGCTTACATGACCATTGGTGATGTTCCGAAATAGGAGGAAACTAAAACACCGATTCCTAACGAAACGTATCCCTTTGAAGCATTAACAACATTTCCATGTCGATCCAACAAAGATTCACCCTGAAGAGCAATAGCGAGATTGGGACACCAAGGTAGGAGCAGTTTGCGATACCAAGATAGACGGGGTTGGACGTTGTTGATACCTGAGCTGCAAGGCCGATCATGACACCGCCAGTGTCGATGAAAAGTACGAGGAAGAGGAATAATGTCATGAGAGCCCCCGTTTGTGTTTTTAGAATTGAAAAATCAAAACGAGTGGAACCGAATTGTGGCAGACTGAAAATTTCCTTTGGAACCGGTGAAAGCTTAAGCATGAGCGACAGGGCCATGCTAACAATGATGCCAACGAGAATTGATCCAGGGACCTCCAACAACAATAATAATGCTATCATGACCAACGTGAAAATTGCCATCCATTGAGAAGCTGATGATAAATCTCCCATTTCCAATATTGTGAATCTCCCATGTGCAATAATTCCCATAGAATATAAACCAATAATTGTTTGGAAGAAACCAATTCCTACAACAACAGCTTTCTTCATCGTTAGCGGAATGTTATTGACAATCACTGAAGACAATCCAGTGAGCGCCAAGAAAAGGAAAACAAGACCCGCAGCTAATGAGCATCCAAGCGCTTGTTCTGGCGTTAAATCATTTTGGCGGACCAATTCGTAAGCGAAGAGTGTGTTTAAACCCATTCCTGGGGCGGAACCGAAAGGAAGATTCGCATAGAGTGAGAATAAGAGTGTGCAAACCATCCCAGAAAAGGTGGTGGCTGTAGCTGTGTGTCCTTTCTCCAAACCAGCTGCTGAAAGGATGTCTGGGTTAACAACAATGATGTAACACATCGATGCATAAAGAATGATTCCTGCACGAAGTTCTGTCGAAATAGTCGATCCCCGCGCAGTAATCTCAAAATACCGATCTAACCTTTTAGCAAGTGAAGATGTTGTGGAGATTGTGTTGAATGATTGAGGTGGGGTCCTGGACCGATCATCCTCAATATCATGATAGAGGCCACCAGAAGAAGTATCCATCTGTGTCTTGTTCAGACTGGAAATGAAGTTGTTCCTGGTTTACCAGAAAGTAAGTTCTCTCACGACATGCAGTTGGATATCCGGCATAGTTCAGTTCATAATAATACGGAGCAACCAAGTCGGGAAACCGCTCAGGATAACCTGTCATTCGCCATTTAGGAGTGCGACCTGCTTTACTGTCCCATTTCACTTTTCATCTTCTCGTAGACATTATTCATCAATGCCGCTCGATACTCAAGTAAGAAGCAGCACCCTCAGAATAGATCAACTCTGCTTCTTATCAGGGAGGGAAGAAGAAGCCTTTGAAGTCCGCGAAACGGCAAGACAAAGATGAAACTGAGGAGGACAAAAGTTTCAAGAGTCAACAAGCTGAGGACAAAAAGTCAGTCGAGATGAAACACGAAAGTTGCAATTGAATTGTATTTTTCAGGAAACTTGAAGCCGCAAGAAAAGCTGCAGTAGCCAAAAAAAAGTAGACCTGTTCTTTTGCAGTGGGAACTCAACTTGGTAGCAACAATTCAAAAGGAAAAAAGTTCAAAATGCCACTAAACCACTTCAAAAGAAATTGATCAATTTCACTGGTTTTCTCTCCATCGTTTCGATGCTGGAATGACTATCAAAATTATGATAATACGAAAAACGATGATCATGACGACAAGCCATAATATTTGCATCCAGAAATCATGAATACCATTGATCTTGAATCCAACATAATCAGAGACGAACTGAACAAACAGAGAAGAATGAAAAGTGAGTCAGAAATCATGAAGTTGTGAAGAGATCTCCTTACATCTTCTCCGGAATAAGGAATCTGTTGAGGATGCTGGATGTCGATATTTTGTCCAGCAAAGGCAAGAAAAGAATAAGCGATAAATCCGTAGCGAAAATAGCTGATGTATTGGAGTAAGCTCAATGGAAAGGAGATATCAGAGAGCTTGACTGCATAGCCACCTAGAAGAACGAAGAATTGTGATGGAAATAATATTTATGAAGAAGAATTGTGATGGAGATGATGGAAGAGACATACCGAATAGCAAAGCGGGAAGAACCCACATTTGTGCGGTGATGAGGGCGCGATCACTCTGAAGAAGGATGAGCAAAGGCATAAAGGAACAAACCCTTACATTTTGAGCTGTTGCGGAACCAAGATAACCCACAGATATGGCAGCATTCGAAACCTTTTAGATGGCATAAAATTGACAGTCAGGAGAGTTGTTTTACTTACCAATAAAGCAACCAAACACGAAAGGAAAAATGGAGTCCATTCATTGCCGAGTCCCATGACCCAAAAACAAATTGTATTGAAGATGAGAGGAAAGAATGTTTGTACAGGAATGTCTACAAGATAAATGGGAAACTGAGGTGGATTTTGTGGGTTGGGATTCTGGGGGTTGAACATACCAGCCACGATTTTCGCACATATGTAAGGAGTTATTCGGAACAGTCCGCTTTCAATTTCTCTGTAAATTATAACTTTTTCATTGACAAACGTTGAACAGACTGCAACGGCACCAACAAGCCCCTACAAGGATTGAATGTCGATTCGCAATCTGTGATGTCAACTTGCTTGGTTTGTCAGCACGAAGAATATCGCGGAAAGTTTGCTTTTTGCGTCGTGGATTGAATTCCCCAATCTGCATTAAAGAAGTTGAAATCCAATCAATGCCTTGCCATACGAAAGAACACTGACCTGTAGAAAATTGTGGAGTAAACGATGGCGATGTAGATTGTTTGTAGAGCTCTCGCATGAACAACAATACGATCTCTACTATTTGTGGCAAGAGATCGCGATAAAAGTGTACGAAACTCGAAACAGAAGGTTTTTGATCGAGACGCCTTATCTCTACACAAAACAATTATTTAAATGAGATAAGGGTTGTTCATGCTTACAGTAATCTTTCGCTTTGTAACTCAGAAAATTCTTTCGAGCTTGTAGAGTGATAACTCGATACAGACCGATGGGTTTGCACATTTTTATCTCGATCAATAAACTCCTTCCATGCAAACAAATCTCCTCCATCCTGCGATTTGTTTGTCTGTTCTTTACTTCTTGCTGATTGGAGTGGAAGAATTAAACTAGTCCCTTGTGGACCAAATGTTGGGGGAGATGGAGGCTCGAGATGTTGATGATGTCTTTGATGCATCTCTCCAGAAGTACTTTTCGGTGTATATCCATGTTTATCGATCACTCGACCACCGGGAGATTTTCCCCCCATCCATTTTCTTCTCCATGCTCTCGATTTTTTTGGAGCAAATGCTTCCCGCCGCGCGACTCTCGGAGATGAACAAATAAAGGTTCCGAAAACTGCTTGATGGGACGATTGCCTTAACGTTGCCATGTCACTAAGTAGGGGCGAACGCTTGATTTCTGTAGGTGAAAGACCTTCGCCGCATTCAGGGAAAGATGCATTTGATCCGAGTTCTGTTGAGCACGTGCCACGTTCGTGAGGTCTCTGCGTTGAAACTTCCTGGCAAATGGAAGAAGATGATGGTTTGAATGATTTGATGAAACTGACTTGCGATAAGGAAATTTCGATACTTCTCTCAGCGAAGGACTTCGATGACTCAAAAAATCGATAACGCTCAGCATCAGTCCATTCCTATAAAAAATAGTTATTTTATGAATGATAAATATTTTATGAAGAATGATCACCTGTAAGAAAGAATCGCCTTCCTTCGCCCAAACTTCCGCCCATTCATCAATTTGTTTTAATTTTTTTTGCCTCGACTCCCGATCTTGTGGAAGGCTCACAATTTTGATCATGAAATCCGCAGGGTTGACTAATTTGGGGCAATGAAGTCCCAATCGCTCAAACCATTCAATACTTCCTGATAATCCCAAAAGAAATACGGTTCTATGTTGATCTCTAGAGTCTCTATCGCCGCGTGTACCCCGGCGAGTCACAAACCTAGACGGTCTCCTAGATATAACACTCTCCCTTCAGCTAAAAGCATGACTTCATCAAATTGGTTAAAAAGCTGTGAACTTGGCTGATGAAGAGTTGCCTGACGATGACTTGTCGTTCAAGTCTCTACTTTACTCTGCTTACAATGACTGATCGCTCAGAAGCTGCAAGACTGCGAAGTGTGGCAACAACCGACGCAGCCATGAATGAGTCAATTCCAGTTGTTGGTTCATCCTACCAATAAAATCGAAATACTCCTGTAGAAGATTTTAACTTACCGCTAATAAAATTGCTGGATTCGTCAAACATTCAGATGCAACGTTCAACCGTTTCCTCTCTCCCCCTGAAATTCCTTTCGATCCATCTCCAATAAGAGTTCGCCGACACGGACCAAGATTGAATCTATTGATGGTGTCATCAATGATCATGTTGCGCTCTTCTCTTGAAATCGGTCCCAAACGGAGACTTATTTGAATATCCAGATGCTCCTCGACTGTTAAATTTTTCAAGAAGAAATCCTTTTGTTGAACATATGCGCAATATTTCTTAATTTCTTGTGGCGCTTTGATTGCAACCCCATTGAGACGCAATTCGCCGCTTGTATGAATGACACGTCCCGCGATGATATTCAATAAAGTCGATTTTCCCTGAATTAGGAAAGCGCTCGTTGAAGCGTTCAATGTTCTTATGAGTCATGATTGATCACAGCTGTATAAACGATGATAGTTGATGACGACTGCTATGGTGGATGATCATAGAAGAGACTCACCGCGCCACTCGGACCAATTATGGCAAGCAGGCGTCCTGGAAGGATCGTTCCAGCGATCTGAGCTAAAATTTCCTTAGTCTCGTACGACGTTTGTGGCTCATGAAAACCGAAGAGAGAGAGACATCGCCAAGGAGTAAACGATGAAAAACTTGAAGTTTTTATCTTATTTGCGCATGGTGTCGTAGCGTCGACTGTTGAAGAAGAACGATTCACCGGAATCGAGACTGCGACTACGGAACAGAACATTATGAAAAGACAATACGAATGACGCACCACCAATGTGGTCCAAGTCGATTGTTGCCCCCCGATGTGCCAAATGAGAACATCCTGAAGTTCTATCAGATTGATCTGAGAATGAAGATTGCTTGTTCGAGCGATCAGTGGGTGGATTCGAAAAACTTTTCTGATGAGCCGTCGGGAGCGGGTCAGCTTGAGGTGGACCATGATGTGAACTCAGGGATGGACTTGCTTTTGGATGAAGAGTGACTGCTGGAGTTGACCGAATGCATCTTCTAGTAAGACTGGAGGGAATAACAGATTCAAGACTTTTTCTCAACACTTCATCCGAAGACAAAGAAGTGACAGCGTTGGGTAATGGATTTGACCAAGGTTGAAGAAGTTCTGATTGCTTTTCGAATGGTATAGAAACATGTTGAATATTTTTATCTGCAAACTCTGCCATGGACAAACACTTAGCGAAAATTACAAATCAATGTTGAAGGAACAAAAATCTGCCAAACACTTCTGCTTACCTTCAATTTTTTTATTGCATTCAAAACAATCACACCGTGAGAACAACAATTATTTGCATGAGAATCACAAAGATATAATCATCTGATATAATCATCACAGCTTTTGATGGTTGAATCAAATTAAACGCTCAGATGATCAAAAAAATTAAGTACACGAAAAAAATTGGAATATTCTAGCGAGCAGTCGAAGCCGAATGCGCAGATGGAATGTATCTAGGAAGAATTGGACCTCCTCCGCTGAGACTCACCGAGGGAGAAAGAGTAATTTGTTGACGGGATGACCGAAATGTGGGGGGTGTGGGAGAGGTACTGAAGGCTGGCTGATGAGAGTGGAGAACTCGCGTTTGAAAAGTGCGTTGCGTCTGCGCTAAGGGGACGCGTGATGCAACCGGCTGGGCATAGATGAAGTTCTTTGATGTTGTCATTTGAGTGAGGTTGTTGGATGTTGTAATTTGAGTGAGGTTGTTGGATGTTGTCATTTGAGTGGGGTTGTTGGATGTTGTCATTTGAGTGGGGTTGTTGGATGTTGTCATTTGAGTCAGGTTGTTGGATGTTGTCATTTGAGGAAGCTTGCTTGATGTTGTCATTTGAGTGAGGTTAGACTTTGGCATGTGGTGTGCATTATTATGCTGAACAGTAGAGTGATGCGATCTCAAGTACGGGACAGAAGATACAGTTCCGGGCGACATGTTGGCTGAGCAGCACCAAGTAGCAGTTTGTTGTTGATGAACGCATCAAGTCGTCCTCACTTGCTAAAACGGGAGTTTTTCCAGCGGAATCAGCAACCCTTGGGCCCCCCAGACGATGGTAGACTCCTATTGGTCCTCTCGGTCCTTCCTCAATCGTCTGAAACGTCACAACACCTCAAGAATTGCTTCAAATGACTCACTCGTCTAATTGGAATCGGCAAATGCAACTGGAGCAAAGGTTGGGTTTGATCTGAAAGAAGAAGCTTGAGAAGGAGGAATTGTTGAGTGGCGTTACCCCTTGAAGTGTTTGGTGGTTGCTGTGGAGGGAGCGACTTTTGACGCCGAAGTCTGGAACAAAATGGATGAGGGAGAATTGATCACAATGTCTCACTTCCGCATAAAACGGAAGCTGCTTTGAACAGCAGCGGATGTCGCTCGATGTCCAGTGCTGGCATCGAGCCTTAGCAACGGAACTTTTGGCTGCTGGGATGACGCGCGGTCCATCTTCTCAAGCTGGATCTTCTCAAGCTCGGTTATGGAACTTCTCGTGCACAAACTGGTCTTTCGTTGTTCAAAAAATAAAATAACGACAACATCAAGCTGTGCGGATCGCTGCTTCCCAAAATGCCTTCCGGCGTGTGATGTACTGTTTATCAGAGTTTTTGCCGAAGTCTTCAAGAACAAAAATCAAAGTTTCGTTTATGCCATTCCTGACAAGAGAGTGATATAAAAAAAGATTTTGATTCTATAAATGTCGAACAGAGTGCTGTTGAGAAATCTTTACCTTTGAAGCCACGAAATGACTGGAAAATCACTATTGTTGCCGTATTTGACAACTTCTTTGCTGAGTGTTGAAATTTCACGATCTATCGTGTTTCTTCTAAAAAACAAACAGAACATTTTCTTTGGTGGAGTCATCGAGATTTTACTTGTTGGAGTAGCACACTAGAATATGAGGGTCCTTCAGAGAAGTCACTGCGAATAAACGGTTGGATTGGTGAATGCAATTTGCTTTTCTGATGCGCACAACGTTTCCTTGATCGATTGATTGAAGCGCCGTATGAACATGAAGAACTAAATCACAGAAAAATTAGAAGATCAAAAAGCGCGCTCACTGAGATAATGAAGTCGCTGAATATGACGAGGAAAGAAAGAAATGTTTTGGTGAAGTGAGAGTGGTTGCCAGGAGACACTATTATTGATTGATGATTGGAGGGAAAAACAAAATGTCGATGTAGAACGTGTTTCTCTTGCAACAGAAGTGCATTTCTGAAGCGTCGTGAATGAACGAGATTGTCGATTCATCAAGAGGGTTGAATAAACACGCTTCAGCAGCATCCGTGAAATTCTCATCGATACCGAAGGCTCACGCGAATTCCGAGCTTTCTGAGACGCTTTCTATTCGCTTTCCATCTCTTTTTTGGAAATGTTCCAGCTTTGCGCGGTTTGAAAAGACATTCCAAACAAGTGGGCGTTTGAGGTAACTCGTCAAGATACTGAGGAGGGCGAGCAAGATGGATCCCCAAATCTCTGGTGCAGTGTGGAGGAGGTTGTGTGTACAAGGACGGAATTGGACTCTTTACACGCTGAATGAGCGAGGCAGACAAAAAAAATTGTGAACCGATTGGAAATCTTTCCAAAGTTCGCAGCACACAGCTCATTTGTCCAAACTCATTTTAAGGGACAGCAAGATTCAGATGCATGTCAAACTGCTACTAGTCCAACTGGCTCTCAGAGTTTTATTGTCTGAAAAGTTCTTTAATCAAAATGCAAAATTTCACTCGCCGTCTGTCTTCTGGTTTGCCCCTCCTTCACCCGCAGGTTCGTTTTTAATTTCCACGCGTCGAATCGATTATTATTTTTTTTTTCTTTAGAGAGGGTTTAGCTCGACTGCGCGGGTGTTTGTTGACAAGAACACAAAAGTTATTTGCCAAGGACTGACAGGGAAACAGGTGCTTCCTCGTTCCCTCTCTTCATTTTTATTCCGCTTTTTTCAGGGGACTTTTCACACGGAGCAGGCCATGGATTATGGAACTCAGATGGTCGGCGGTGTTCATCCCAAGAAAGCAGGCACGTTCTGGAAATCTACCAATGAAAAACACCAGCTTCCGGTTTTCGGGTCTGTCGCTGAGGTATTGCCGATTTCTTCGGTGACACGAGAACAGTATCCCAATTCTTGCAGGCCGTAAAGGAGACTCAGTGCGATGCGACCGTCATTTATGTTCCTCCACCAGGCGCAGCAGCCGCCATTCTTGAAGCTATTGAAGCAGAAATTCCTCTCATTGTTTGTATCACTGAGGGAATTCCCCAGCATGAAATGGTTCGGGTCAAACAGGTTTTGAAATCTCAGACAAAGTCGAGATTAATCGGTCCAAATTGTCCCGGTATCATCAAACCTGACGAGTGCAAAATTGGAATCATGCCAGGCTCAATTCACAAAACTGGGATGATTGGTAACTCCACCATATCTATGTTGCCATCCTTCCACCTACCGTGTTATATTCATCTCTGATACACAGAACTCATCAATTTGTTCTCTAGGAATTGTTAGCCGTAGCGGAACTTTAACATACGAAGCTGTGAATCAGACAACAAGAGTCCAATTGGGACAATCAACTTGCATTGGAATTGGTGGTGATCCTTTCAACGGAACAAACTTTATTGACTGTCTTGATAAATTTGTGTCTGATCCCCAAACTAAGGGTAAGCAAGGTTTTATGACTGCAACGTCATACGAGTCTATTATTCAGGAATTGTTATGATTGGGGAAATTGGTGGCAACGCTGAAGAAGATGCTGCTGCTTGGCTCACAGAAAATGCTGGGCATGGCAAGCCTGTTGTTAGTTTCATTGCTGGGTTGAGTGCACCACCTGGAAGGCGTATGGGTAAGATTTCGTGTTTGAGGGCCTCAAAGCCTTCTATCTGCAGGCCACGCTGGTGCCATTGTGTCCGGGGGGAAAGGCACCGCAGAGGGAAAGATTGAGGCGTTAGAATCAGCTGGTGTGCATGTTGTCCGATCACCTGCTAAAATTGGAGACAAGATGCTAGAAGTGATGATTTCGGCTGGACTAGTTGACGGCACGTTTGCAGATCAAGCAAAGTTGGCAGAAGCCACTGCTTGAAGTAGTTTTTAATTTTGTTATTTTTGTTTTGCCATTCTATTGATATCGCCGATTGGATATGCCGACCTGCGAGTCGTAATTGTTTCAAATAAATCGATTCCATTTTTCTATTTCTAAAATCCAGGAGAACAGTAGGAACTGCTGAATGCTTAAAAGAAACGACGTGCGTGGCTTTCTTGTATGTCTTGCGGTTCGCGCCGCTAATAGCATTCTCCAGCATAATTCCTTCACACCAGATGAACACTGGCAAAGCTCTGAGGTGGCCCATTGGTTGGTATTTGGATATGGATTCTTGACATGGGAATGGGAACCCTGTATTGCCCTTCGTGATATTCTCCATCCAGGCATTATTGCTGTGTTTTATTACATCATGAAATGGCTTCATTTCGATACTCGATGGATCATTGCGTATGGTCCACGATTATTTATTGGATCTCTTGTTGGTTCTGCTGTTGATTTTGGAGTCTTCAAAGTAGCAGCCTTCTGGTTTGGAACTTTTACAGCAAAATTCGCTCTTCTTTTCAGTCTATTCAGTTGGTTCCACTTCTACTCCATCGTTAGAATGTATAGTAATTGTTTCGAGGCTGTTTTCAATATCTGGGGAGTTTATTGGTGGACCAGAAGCAGATCAATCGGAAATCCTCATTCGCTGAACCATTTCTGTTTTTCCTTATTTCTTGCTTCTC